AGGAGGAATATTTCAAGTACATAAGGGCTGAAAATTGTCCAAAACTGAAGAAGGACTTGAGTCTTCAGGTTGAAGATGCATATCGAGTCCCAAACAAGATAATCTAATAAACAAATACACCTAGACACAAATCACTAATGTAAACATCAACTGGAAAAAAAAAAAAGAAAATATTGTTACTATGGTGAAAAAGTAATCTATAAAGGAATAACTATGAGACTACCAGACTTCTAATCACCAACAGTAGATGCCAGAAGGTCATGAAATAGAAACATCGAGGTGCTGGAGTCAATACTTGTCAACTTAAATTTCCTTAGCTGATGAAATTCTGATTCAAGAATGTAAGAGAAAATAAAAAGAGAGTGATATACACAACAAAACAGAATTTTACTCACAGATATGATGGAAAAAATACTAAAGAACATACTTCACCAAGACATAAATTGAGCCCAGGAGAAGAGAATGGGATAAAAAGAGCAAATAGTAAGGGAACACTGACGAAATATGTTGGGAGAATTAATTAAATAATTATAAAAGTAGTAGTGGTGATGACTAATTTAGTAAAGAATTGAAAAATAAATAGGGAATTAAAAATACTAGGGATGCCTGGGTGGCTCAGCCGGTTAAGCGTCTGACTTCAGCTCAGGTCATGATCTCACGGTTCGTGCGTTCGAGCCCCGTATCGGGTTCTGTGCTGACAGCTAGCTCAGAGCCTGGAGCCTGCTTCAGATTCTGTATCTCCCTCTCTCTCTGACCCTCCCCTGCTCATGTGGTGTCTCTCTCTCTATCTCAGAAATAAATAAAACATTAAAATAATAATAATAATAAAAATGCTAGATAACAATACATAGTTTATAGGAGAGGAATTGGAAGTTAAAGTGTTTTATTTATTTTTGTTGCTTAAGATTATCTTTAAAGGAAGGGGTTAAAGATACTGATGGAATCTTGGGTGTTAGGTATAAATATTAATATTTTAAAGGTAATCACTGAGAATTGAAATAAAAGGTATAAATTCCAAAACAGTAGGAGTGTTTAGAAAAAGAGAGTAAATGAAAGAAAATTCAATTAATCGAATAGAAGGCAAGAAAGGAGAAAAGAAGAAGCAAAGGAAAAGAAAGTTAAATAAATATGAAATGAGGTGGTGGTAATAAATCCCAAGATGGTATTCATGATGTAAAGAGAATGCTAGTTTTCAGTAAAATCTGTTTTCTGTCCTCCATAGTAATAGAGTTGTGGTTGGAACATGGCTACTCAGCTAATGGCTCCATTTTCCTGCTCCTTTGCTCGTCAGTGTGATTATGTAACTAAGTTCTGGCCAATGGGATATGAGCAGATGAGAAGTGTGTCACTTCTGGGTCCAGGTCTTAAGAAGTTAGGCCTGTGCTCCCTTGTACTGTCTTCTTCCTTCCTTGAGCTAGAACTCCCTAATCAGCTTCTATCAAGTAGATAAAGGCAATGTCCTCGGGGATGGAATAGAGACATGGAAGAAAGGAGCCACCCTAGCAACCTGGACCACTTATCCTCAGACTATTTCAGGAAAGGGAAATAAACCTTGTGTTTCGGAGGAGTCAGAGAGGAAGAATCTCTTTCTTACAATAACCTTTTACCCTAATTAATATACATGATAAATGAAAACTGATTAAATTAAAGGCAGACTCTCAGAATGAGTTAATAATACCGAAATTCAACTGTTATTTACAAGACATACTTAAAACATAGTGACTCAGAATGGCTGGAAATGAAGAGATGAAAAGATATATACCAGGCAACCACTAACAAAAAGAAAGCTATGGTATCATACAAAATAGAATTTAAGGTAAAAAAACAATGGACAGATAAATATATAATGAATGTGCCTAGGCAATTGGATTATAGTCCTGCTTTGCAATTTATACAGTGAAACCTTGGGCAAATTGCTTTATTTTTGTCTAGTTTCAATTTCCATCTCTATAAAAGTTGATAATATTTTATTTGCTGAATTGTGAGAACTAAGAGACAATGATGGGAAACTAATTTTCTTTTTTTTTTAAGTTTATTTATTTATTTAGAGAGCACGGGGTAGAAGCAGAGAGAGAGGGAGAGAGAGAATCCCAAGCAGGCTCTGTCCTGTCAGCACAGAGCCCAACTTGGGTCTGGATCTCACAAGAACCATGAAATCATGACCTGAGCTGAAATTAAGCATTGGATGCTCAACCAATAAAGCCACCCAGATGCCCCGGGAACTGATTTTCTATAGCCTCAAAAGATGGAACTAAAATTCTATCACATCATTCATTCAACATTTACTGAGCACCTATGATGCACCAGAAACTGTACTGAGAACCAGGAAGATGGAGATAAGTCAGTTATAATACTTGTCATCAGGGATATTATATGTTAAAAAATGAGTTTAGGGGCGCCTGGGTGGCTTAGTTGGTTAAGCGTCCGACTTTCGCCTAGGTCATGATCTCGCGGTTCGTGGGTTCGAGCCCCGCGTCAGGCTCTGTGCTGACTGCCAGCTCAGAGCCTGGAGCCTATTTCAGAGTCTGTAACTCCCTCTCTCTCTGACCCTCCCCTGCTCATGATGTCTCTCTCTCTCTCTCTCTCTCTCCTAGAAATAAATAAAAACATTAAAAAAATAAAATATTATGTTAAGAAAAATGAGTTTAATAAAATCTTCCAAGGCATTGCAATGGGGTAGGGGATGTACATTTCATCTAGAGTGAGTGGCCAGTTCTAACCTGCAGCAGCGTCAAAAGATTTCATAAGAAGCGGCTCTTAGGTTGAATCCTGAAAGATGAGCAGATGTTTGGACAGGCTGAGTAAGAAGAAGGGCATCCCATGAGAGAGCACAGCACAAAATTAAGTGGCCTTACAGGGAACTGCATGCAAGGAACTCAGAGTTGTGTGATGAGCCTGGAGAAATAGATACTGGCTAAGATACTGGGACTTCATTTTACAGGTAATGGGGAGCCATTTGAAGGGCTTATCCAGGGAACGACTCACTCAATTTTGTATTTTAGAAGGCTTACTTTGGCCACAATGTGAGCGATGGCAGGGGTGAAGGTCCTACCAGCTTTGAGGCAGTGAGACTAATAAGGGAAGAAATGCAGTGTTTCAGGGGCTTGAAACAAAGGATCTGAAACCAGACAAGAACAGTGACATGGAGGGAAGGTGATAGAAAGGAACGTCTGGTATGTGGAGGGGGGCAAATGGGAGAGAGAAGAAGGAGCCTGGGACAATTGTCAGGTTTCTCCTTTGGGGACCTAGGTGGACCGTGAAGGCATTTATTGAGAGCATGAGACTGTAGAGAAAAGCCAGCTGGCAGGAAGATTAACTTCTGTTTTAGTCAAGCTGAGTTGAAGGCCCATGGGATGTCTGGGTAGAAATTTCTGGTAAGAAATTGGCTTTACTGAACTGGAGATCTGGGATAGGGATGGACGTTTATGAGTTCTCAGCACATGGCTGGTAGTTGAGGTCATGGGTGCTATGTGGAAAGACCAAGCAGTATTAGAAACAGACCAATTAGTGGCAGATTATTTAGCCACCCCAACATGTAAGAGGTGGCAGGAAGCCTGAAGGGAAATGGTTAGAGAACTTAGAGACTGAAGTGTCACAGGGGCCAATGGAAGGGATAGTTTCAAGTCTGGTCCCCAGTGACAAACACCACAGATAGGCTAATTAAGAAGGGAATTGAAAATAAAAACAACAGTCTACTACATTTTTAAAGCCATGAATGACCTTTTTCAGGGTCACCTCGGTGAAAGTTGATCTGCAGGGAAGAATGAGTGGCAGATTAAGAAATGAGGTGACAATAATGAGAATAGGTGTTTATCTTCCAAAGAGCTTGGCTGTGAGGAGGTGGGGACTGGATCAAGGAAGTGTTTTTTTTTTTTTTTTTTTCCCAGTTTGTTTTTAAGATGTGTGAATGTATTTGACATCATTAAGAGACTTGCGAAGATGTTGATAGGAGCCTGAAAGTCCAAGAGAGGGAATAACCTGTGCAAAGCCATTCTTGGCTTGGAACTGGATGGAAACCAATTTCCATGCCAGAAAGATGATCAGAAGCCATTTGTAACGTTGTTTTCAAAGGGCTGGAGGAGGTGACTTGTCGTTTACTGAGCACGCACTGTGAGCCAGTCCCTTTCCCAAATTTGAACGTATTGCTGGAATTGGAAGGAAGATCGACTCCGTAGCCGGTTTTCTTTCCACGAAACCGTTAATCATTAAAAATGAGTAAAAGAAGCACTCCCTCAGGCTTAAACCCTCGTGCAGATGCTACCCCATCTACAGTCTTTTTAACACCACAGAGAATAAACCATCCTTGGCACAGCTGGCTCAGGAGCGGCTCTGGAGTGCAGTTGGCTCCCTTGCTCTGTGGAAGTCGGTAAGTGTCCAGTGTGGTTTCGTTCGAGCCTCAGCGCCGGGAGGCGGGGACGTGCCCGCGGCGGCCGCAGCCGGCGTTCGGAGGGAGGCGGGCGCGGGCTGTAAGCACCGGGAGAGGGAGAGAGGGAGAGAGCGACAGAGGGAGAGAGGCGCTGGGAGGCGTCTCCCGGGACTCTCAACCGCCGCCGCTCCCGCGGCCAGCGCGTCGGCCGGCCCATCCCGGGCTTTCCCCGCCGCTCCCAGCGCGCCCGGCCGCGGCCCCGGGAACGGCGGCTCCTGCCCGCCGGGCCGCCCGGTGCCCGTGACCACCCGGCGGCCGCTTTCGGTTCCGCGCCTTATAAGGCCTGACAGGGGGGTCACGTGCGTCCCGGGCCGCCCGCTGGGAGGAGGGGGCGGCGGGGGGAGGGGCGGGAAGCGGGGAGGAAAAGGGGAGGGAGCCGGGGGCGGAGGAAGGAGCGAGGGGCGGATTCTGTGGCCGTGGGAGGCGGTGGCAGCGGCGGCGGGGAGCGGACCGCTCGGAGCTGGACCGAGGAGGAGGTGGAGGAGGTGGAGGAGGAGGAGGAGGAGGAGGAAGGGACCGGCGCGGGGGCGGGAGAGCGCAGCGCGGCGGAAGCCAGAGACGGCGGGAGCGCCGGTGGCTGGCCCCGGGCAGGAGCCGGGGCGGCGGCGGCGGCCGAGAGGACCGCGGCGAGGGAAGCGCATCCAGCGTCCCCGGCGGCGGAGGCGGCGGCGGGGGCCCGGGTCCCCGCGCCCGGGCGGCCGGCGGGCGCTGGCGGCGCGATGGAGCCGCAGCACGTGCGCCCCGCGCCCGGCGCCCGCAGCCCGGCCTGGGAGGAACCGGTGGGTACAGCGCCCGCGCCCACCCCCTCCCGCTTCTCTTCTGCTCTCCCCCGCCCGGGCCGGGTTCCGTTCAGGAAATGGCCCGGGATGAGGTCCCCAGCTGCTTCCCAGCCGGGGCAGCGCTTCCTCCGCCGCCCGGGCTCCTCCTCGCGCGCCGCCCGGAGCGCCTTTGTCCGGCCAGCGGAGGCTCTCTCCGTGGGGCCGCTGGCGAACCGCTGACGACGGCCCTCCGAGGACCGTTTCCGTTGCTCCATCGAATTCTCAACTTTTGACTTGATTTTAGAGCGTGGGGGATAGGAGGAGGGAGAGGAGGAACCCAGACGGCGGAGGTCAGCGTGCGGGCTGGGAGGAGACCGCTCTTCCCTCCAGAGACCGCGCCCCGGCCGTCACCTGGGCGCGCAGGTTCCTAAGGACCGCCGGCGGCGGAGGCTGTTCGCGGCCAGGAGCCTGGAGCCACGCCTCCCCTTAGCCGCTACCGCCCCGCTTTTACAGGGTTCAAGGGTTTTTCCGGGGATGAAGTGGGGAGCTAACCTTGATCTCACTGCACTTGCAGTCCGAAGGTTGGGTAATTTTAGGGACCGAGAGGAGCGTGTGCGTGTGTTTTGTGTATGTGAGAATAAGAAGGAGGAGACCGGGGGGGGGGCGGGGGGGGGGCTTTGGATTTGTTCCCTCAAACTCCTCCAACTTCCTTCTTTCTTCCAATTCAGACAGTCAGAACCATCTCACATCCCTCCAGGGATTCTACCCCGGAATCCCCGTCTCACTCAGAGCTCTGTAATCCTGTGTGAGATGCCTTTTCCCTGGCATCGAATTTTGGCTATCCACGCCCTGCCTCGATGTTTGCTACTCCGTGTTGGGTGAAATTCTTGAACCTATCTCGAAAGCCTCGCCTGAAATTTCTGGCCTCACCCGTGTTCTGTTCAACGTGTTCGGATGCTCTTTTCCAGGGACTCTGCGTGTCTGCTCAGGCTGGCTCCCTGCCTGTTAAGAGCTTCTAGGTCAGGTGCCAGGCTTCGTTTTCCTTTTTCTTTTCTAGTATGTACACTCTCCGCTCCTTTGCCCAAAACCATTTCTCTGCCTCTTGTTTCCCGACCTTTCAGAAGTGTCCTTGGACTCTGATCCATCTGTATCTGCAGCTGCCTTTGCTTTTGTAAAGTTGAACATGTCCTTAGGTTGGCCCATCTGCTCATATTTCTTCTATTGTGGTTATTACTGGGGATTAAATTATTCATGAAACTAAAACTACAATTCAGTTTGGAAGTTCAAATCAAAGACCACTGAGAACCAAATTCATGGACCTGTTTTTGTTACTTTTTTACTTTTAAACTTTCCTATATGAAGTCCCTTTTGAACCCGGATGCTTTAAGCCAACACCAATCACAGTGAAAAATAGCCTCTTAAGTGCATTTTGCTCTGGGGTACTGATGTCAGAACTGCTTTGTGCCTAGAAAAATAGAGAAAAGCTTTTAATGTTGCTTGAAGTGATAAAAATGAAAATGCTCATGGATTAGCCTTTAAAACTAGAGCCCTAACAGAAATGTATGAATGAACCATAAGACTTTATCCAGACTGCAGAACTGTCCTTAAGAAATTAGGTTTATTTTCTTTAAACACTGAAAGCCTTTTTATTTACTCAATAGATACTTTCTCCAACACCTACTGTGTTCCAGGACTTTTGGATATAGCAGTTAACACAGGCATTAATCCTGAAATTCTCACAAAGCATACATCCTGAACAGAATGTCTTGTTTCATGTATGTTAGTAGTTGACATTCAGATAGTCCAAAAAAAAAAAAAAATCCTTTAGAGGTCTTACATATGTGGCACAAAATGATACTTTGACAAAGTGATTTTTTTTTATTTCTTTAATGTTTCATTTATTTTTGAGAGAGAGATAGAGACAGCGGTAACAGTGGAGGGTCAGAGAGAGAGACACACACACAGAATTCGAAACAGCCTCCAGGCTCTGAGCTAGCTATCAGCACAGAGCCTGATGTGGGGCTTGAACCCACGAACCGTGAGATCATGACCTGAGCCGAAGCCAGACGCTAAACTGACTGAGCCACCCAGGTGCCCCAAAGTGATAAAGTGTTTTTTTTTTTTTGAAAACCTGTGGGCATACATGTATGACCGCAAAGTCTAAGAGGAATTCTCATTTAAGTTCTTAAAAAAAAAAAAAAAAAAGTTACCCAAATTACTGAAAGGTGATGTATAGGAGAAAAGGGGGGATAAGTTAGGAGAAAAAAGAATACTTAAATTTTAATTATTTCAGACTTTTGGATCTAAGGGAGGAAATATCAGCTTAATCTAAATATGTTTTGAAAGGACACAAAATCCCTCAAAATGAAGGATTCTTGAGCTTCTCTTGGGTCAGTGATCCCCTTAAGAATCTAACCAAAGCTATGGAATCTGTCCCCACAATGGACCAATACAACATGCCATATAAAAACAATAATAATATTTCAAGTGAATCAGAGTTCCTGAGGCCCAGTCTGTGGATCCTCAAAGACCTTGGGCTAAGGAACGTCTGCTTTGACCAGGAGTCCATTTTACAGTTACTGAAGATGTGCTGTTTGATTTCAAATATAGGCAACTTTAACACTTGACCATAAAAGTATGCTCATTTATATTTATAATATGAATATTTAATATTGAATAGGAAATATTCACATTACACAGACCCTGAATTCTTATAGTGTATAATAGCATACCTATAAGGATTTACTCTTTTTTTTTTTTGATGAAACCTAAAACATGATGATATGATTCCATGATTCTACACGGATCTACTCAGAAGAGGAAGCATGATTTCAGGTACTAATGCTGAATAGTAAGCAGTAAAGAGAACAGAACGTCTGGAGTTGAGAGTCAGCTACTGGACTTCATGACATTTTTCGTATTTGGAGGTAAAATGAAATTATTTAGTTAAGTGAGGGCATTTAAATAAACAGCCTTATCATTCCTCCAGCCAGGGCATTGGGCCTAAAAGAAGATAAGTGTTAGCATTCAGGTTTTTGTGTATTTTCTTTAACGCTAGTTTTGGAATGCAATCAAATCAGTGGAAATAGAGGCATTACGAACATTTCTAATCAGTATGAAACTATGTTGGTGGTGGTTATAGTTGGGTGGGAAGATACTTAGCCAAATAGCCCCTACTCATAGATGATATCCTGGGGTGGGGGTGGGGAGATGGGTAGTTTGACTTCTAGTCAAAACTTAAAAATTGTGGGAATATTTACAAAGTAGTCCTTAGTGGTACTAGGATACTAGGATACATTTTACTAAAATTTGTTTTTATTTTTACGTGGTTTTTGTCTACTAGGCTCTGATGAAACTATTCAAAACTAATTGGAAATTAGAAAAGGAAGACTTCCAAAGGAAAAAAGGGCCAAAACGTAAATGAGAAGCTATAAGTGTATTTATGCATTAGGTCTAGATGACAGTGGGTTTTGCCCTGGGCACAGGGATGCCCATTGGTACATGCAGTTCTATCACGATTAACATGAAATCTTTTTCATTCAGGTAACAAGCAAGGGAATTTTAATGGAGTAAAGTTGTGAACATTAAATTCCAAATATGTAACAGTATATTAAGGGAAGTTTGAGTGAAGCGGGCCTGGTCTTATTCAGCCTGCAGTGTTCTTTGCGTGGGTCCCATTGATTAGGAATGTGCATCCTAGAACGTGACTGTTAGAAAGTGCCAATGTGGGTTCTTCAGGATATAAATGTAGAATTCTTTGTATTTGTGATAAAATGTTTAACATAACAGCAAAGAATATATGGGATTTAAAAGTTGCAAATGGATATTAACTCTTGTTATAAGTAATGCTCAATAATAAGAATATAATTAAAAATACCTATCAGTAGGAATATGATAATATTCATAAAGTTGGTATCAGAATGAGAATTGGCTGTGATTTATACATCTTCAATGTAATAATTTTTCTTTTTTTAAATGGGGCAGGAAGCTCTATAAAGTAGAAACCCAATTTTGTGGTAGCTTCTACGTCTCTTTCATCCTAAATGCAGTGTCTACATGGCTTATGTCCAAGTTTTTAATAGTGTGTTTGTGATATGCTATGTTCCAAACAAAGATTTCAAAGTAACAATAATAAAAGAAATATGTAAGACACATCTAAGAAATTATTTGAAAATCTGAAAACACCAAGTAAGGAAAAAGTCAAGGGAATCCTGTAAATCAAAGAAATAATGCAATGTACTACATATTTGAAATTGGTTTCAGTTGCCATTTTGAGCTACATTAAAATGGTTGAAAATATGGAGCTCTTGACATTGCTATTATATGTTTAAGGGCGGTGAAGTGCATTGCAGGTATACAATATACAGATTGGATATTCATTCTGGGAAGTTCTAATTTACAGAAAAGACCTGAGAAGAATCCAATGGATTGGGTACCTTACATGAGGGATTCTTCGAAACAATCTTAGAAGAAAAGAGGGTTTTCATGAGTTGCCTTTTATGGGAAATGAAGTGACATTCCTTCATTTGCCTACACAGTATTTTCACTGAGTGTCCTATGTGCTAGGAGAACTGTAGAGCAGGGGTAATCTATTTAGCATAAGGAGGCTAAGACTGGCTATGCTTTCAAAGTCACGACCAAGTTTTAGAACTTGTTTCAGGAGTGTTTGAAGAGCAGGGATGACTGATGGTAAATTTTTATGGAGTAATAAATACTTTTACTTTGAGGTATTAATTGCCCAGCTCTTGCACATGAAACTCTTTTAAAGGATCTCTAAGCAACCAGTGTTTGAAAGAGAATGAGAAATGTACTGAATCCTCTAATTCAGATCACAGAATGGGCATAGGAGTGAAAACTGTCAGTTTAATAGCTCTGCCTAGATTCAGGAAAATGTTACTATACAAAACTTGAAAGCCTAAAGCATGAATAAAAACATGATAATTGATCATGTTGGTGTGGTAAAGTCAGTAGAACACTGGAACAGTCAATAACATGATTTCGGCTTTGACTCCAGCTTATGATTTTGGGCTTCACTTTCTTAACATTAAAGGAAGGATCTGAACTAGGTTTGTTCTTTCAGAAGGCCCTTTACTAGGTGTTCTTGGCTACACTACCAAACCATTGGACATCTCAGTTACCAAACAGGTTGAGCTAAAGACCATTATTTTAATTACTTTTTCTCTTAAAGAATTCCCTTCACGACAATATATTCTATGTAGGTATAGAATTACATATCTACAAAACCAAAAGGACTCTAAATTATTTTGCCTAGCTCCTCCCATTCCTAAAGAAGACAACTAATGCTGGAGAAGTAGCTTCCATCAGGATTTCAAGGCAGCAATCTCCTGTCTTTGAAGATTCAAACCAGCACATTTTGTATTTTGACCAACAGTGTGGATATACAGTATTGGGGTTGAATATTGTAATTTATAACCTCTTAGAACTGTTAGTTTTGACATAGCAATCAAATTATTGAGAGTAAGATTTCAACTAAAAAAAAAAAAAAACAAAGCAAAACAAAACCCCAATAGAATGCTAGTTTGGAGGACCCTTAAAGGTCATGTCAACTGAAAGAGTAGAAGGTCATGTCAACTGAAAAAGTAGGAATGGGTACTGAAGGACATGAACACGCTGAAGAGATTAAATGCTTTACTGAAGTGTGAAGAGACTCCACAGTCTGGCGGGGACTTTCGCCCTACTTAAAAATACAGCTAAGTTTAGAGTTCTCGTGGATGACCAGAGGAATCTGTCATTTTAGTATCTTCTCCCCCAAGCCTTCCCACACCTACAAGGGTTCTTTGACGCACAGCATGCACAGCCCGCCGCGAGCCTGCAATTCCCCAGTGCCCGTTTAGCCAGCTCGCTTGGGACGAGTTGGGAGCGGTGGCTGCAGCCTGTTGATCCCATTTCCTCCGGCTGTGGTCCGGGTTAGGGAGTGGCTCTCCCAGGACCTCCAGTGTTTTCGTGCTCGGGCACTGGTGTTCACATGGCTTCAGTGCATTGTTTTCTTCCAGGCAGTCTCGCCTAGCGCTTCAGTTTAGACATTTATTTTGCATTCTGTGGTCTTGGGCTGCGTGTCCTCTCCTGTTTCTGCGCTCTCTCCACGCCCTTCCCAGTTTCCTGTTAGCCAAAGGGATCGCTCTTTCTGAACGAAAAGTTCTCAGAGCGCAGTGGAACCTCCCGGAAAATGCTCTTCTCTTCCGTGTGCGCCGGATGGAGGTGGGGGTGGGCCAGAATCTAAACACCGCGGTCGGGAGAGCTGAAAGGACCCGAACCCCGGGGCAGAGGCGGGAGAGGTATGGTTCATCAGAGATGAGCGGAGGGGGGGTCGTGAGGCTGACCAAGGGCAGCGCCCATCCATCGAGGGGGCGGAAGGGACTTTTATTCAGCGGGAACCGTGCCGCGAGGCCCAAGTCTAGAGTCTCTAGACTCTAGAGAGATTCTAGGTCTAGGGGGTGGCAGGGTGTACCCAAGGGAGTCGGGAGGAAGCTCTAGGTTCCGTTCTACTGCAGGGGCCGTTCTTGCCCCAGCGGCCCGTGGACTGAGGCAGGGAGCATCGCCACTGCCCAGCCTGTGGCGGTTGGCTGCGGAGGTTTCTTGCCCCCTCGACCCCCGCCCTCCCGTCCATCCTGGGGACCCCAGACCCCACGGGAGGCGGTAGGTTGCCCCTATCCCTGTGTCATTCCCATCCTCTCTACCCGCGCAGGTCGTATTCTGGGTCAGGAGCCCTGTAACGTCTCGAGGCTGGGTGCGCAGGGGTCCCAGGCGGGCCGGGGTCCGCGTCCCCGGTGCCCGCTGCGGTCACCGCTTTGGCCAGAGCCCGGCAGAGGGGCCTGGAGAGCGGCTGCCGGGAGGGGGTCTGGTCCCGCGCGACCCTTCCCCCGCGGGGGCGGCTGGGGGAGCGGAAGATGGCGGCTGCAGCCGGGCGCGGGGCTCTGGGCCCGGCTCGGACCGAGCGAACCCACTGACCGCCGCCGCCGCCCCCGCCGGGCGGTGCTGTGTCCCCGCAGGAATCGGAGAGGATGGCCGGAGCCGGCGGCCAGCACCACCCTCCGGGAGCCGCGGGAGGAGCGGCCGCCGGGGCCGGCGCCGCGGTCGCCCCCGCCGGTGCCTCGGCGGGGCCCGGAGACGATTCTTCCGACAGCGAAGCGGAGCAAGAGGGACCCCAGAAACTGATCCGCAAAGTGTCCACGTCGGGGCAGATCCGGACCAAGGTAAGGCGGGTCTGAGGGGAGCGTGGACGGCGGGAGGCTGCGGGGCGGGGAAAAGGAGCGAGGGTGCCCGGAGCGCGCCCGGCGCGCGGGCAACCCCAGGAACGTGGGCTGCAAGGTGAGGGCGGGGCCTGGCCCGGGGGCGGGGCCCGCGGGAGGTGGACCGCCGCGCGGCAGGAAGGGACTCCCGGGCCCCGCGCGGAGGCCGCCAGGGTGGGCTCCCGGGGAGCTCGGCCGCCGACGTGGTGGAGAGGGAACCAGCGGCTCCGCGGGAGCGTGGGAAAATGCTTAAGCGCTCTTGAGAGTTCCCACTCAGGGAACTTAAAAGGACTGTTTTATTTTTTTGTCCTTCCTGCGTACAGTGGCTGAGTGGAGTGTGTGCATTGTGTAGGGAGCCTAGTGCAGGCCGACCAGCCTGAGATGTAAGAAGCCACCCCCCCCCCTTTCCTTCCCGCAGGCCCAGGCTCACTCTAAAAGGTTGTTTGGGGAGGTGACAGCGGACAGCCCCCTTGCCTCCCGCTGCCCTTTGGAAGGCAAAAACCCCTCGAAGCTCGCTGCCTGTGTAACTGAAGTTCGAGGTTAAACACACGCTGCGCGACGCAGCAGTAAGCTAAGCTTTTGAGTCGTGGGTTCCTACTAAGTACAGAGTTCAGATCTTACCAGCGACGGTTAACTTAATGAAAATTAACGTCTTTGTGTTACGTGGATTTAGTATGCTGTGTTAACTCTTGTTCATGTAGCAGAGGCTTTTGATCCTTAAGGGCTCAGTTGATTTGGTTTAATTAGATCTTGAGGATACACATAGCAGATGCTTAACACTGGAGGATTATTTATATTTTTAAGTTTTCATTGTACTTTGAAAATCTTAAAGTATCAGTTATCACTAGTTGGACTTTAATGAGGTATTTGAAAAGAGAACCAATCACATCATTGGATTTGTGTGCCCTCTTTAAAAATCCATTTGTAGGGTGCCTGGGTGGCTTAGTTGGTTAAGCTTACTACTTGGGCTCAGGTCATGATCTCCCGGTTCATGAGTTCCAATCCCACATCGGGCTCTGTGCTGACAGCTCAGAGCCTGGAGCCTGCTTCGGATTCTGTGTCTCCCCCTCTCCCTGCTCACTCTCTTGTCTCTCTCAAAAATAAATAAAACATTAAAAACATAAAATAGTTAATTCACTATATAGTTATTTTTATGAGACTTTGGTTTCTAAGATCAGTGGACCCCTATATGAGACCAGAACTTTTATTGTTAGTCTATGGAATCATGCTTTCATTAGCTTGCCTCCTTATTTTCGAAAATAAATATGTGTAAGTACACACAAGTGTTAGCAAGGTGCAGTTAGCAAAGAGTCATAGATTGCTTTGGTCATTTTTTTTAAACATTTATTTTTGAGAGACAGAGACAGCATGAGTTGGGGAGGAGCAGAGAGGGAGAGGGAGAGGGAGACACAGAATCCGAAGCAGGTTCCAGGCTCTGAGCTCAGCACAGAGGCCCTCATAGGGCTAGAACTCCCAAACCATGAGATCATGACCTGAGCTCAAGTCAGATGCTTAACCGACTGAGCCACCCGGGTGCCCCACTTTGGTCATTTTTTTTTAACTGCACATGTTGTAATTCATTTTAATAGTGATATTTCTTAATAGAATTTACGATAACCTGAGGATATGGGATTTCATATTTTTAGAAGATTAAACCTAAAGAAGATAGTGACTTTCTAACAATGCCTTTAACATTTGAAATCTTAATTTAAAAAAAGTTCATAAAACTGTTACTAATGGCAACTTGGCAGGTTTAAATATGGTGTATTTTATAGGTTCATATGAAATGGTTAAAATTCTGTGCAGACTTATACTAAAATTAAACAGTGAATTTCTACTGTTTGAAAGAAAATTTAGAGATGACTCTAACTTGCGGTGAGTAAAGTTAATTAAAAATCTAGGGGGAATACAGCTAAAATTTGTAGGTTTCATGAATTCATGGTAACAGCTAAGATTATATTCTTTAAATTTTATATTATCTATGATTTGGGGTAAAGCATGTTTCCGAGTCTAAGAATAAGTTAGCACACTTATTACTGGTTTTCTGTTTAAATTTCTAATAAAAATATTTAGCACATATATTTTTTTTCATGATTAAACATAGTGATTTCCCTGGATGTATTGAATTTCAGAAATTCTACATTTTATACTAACTCATACAAATGCATGTAAGTTCCCCAGCCTTTTCACATCTGAGCACCTGAGATCCAGGCCTAAAACCCCTGAGATCAGTGAGTCTCAGCTTCTCTCCTTGCCCCCACCCACAATCCAGACTGTTCATACGTGGCTATGGATTTCATCAGTTGCATCTCTTTATCACACAATACTGATTCTCAAGGAAGAGAGCTAGTGCAGTGAGAGGATTCAGAGAATGAAAACACTAAATGTAATACTGATGCCCAGTCTTCAGGTTATGACCCAGCTAAGAGTTAAGGGAAAAACCTTTTAGAAAAAAGACTATACATGCTTGATACCTGCACAGATGTGCAAGATAGGACAGTCTGGAGGAAAAGGAAGCCAGGACTAGCCCCAGGCCTGGTGCTTTTTTAAGACAGAAAGCAGTCCTTGCGCATACATACTATAGATACACCAAGGACCACTAGATCTGACGGGCTATGGTTACGAGTGACATCTTCGATCCTGGTTAGCAGCCCAGGATGGTGTGTGTGGTACATGTATACATACCTACGCACATATACACATGTATTCATATGCTGTCTCTGGATAAAGCATTTGTATGTAGATGTATATACAAGGCCTACAGTAGAGTGAGTTGTACCTAGAAACCAAAAATACTTCTTAAATGAATAACTTAAGTGAATAATGTGTATATTATATACTTAACATAATGCTTCATATATATGGACATTATTATGAAAACAGTATTTATCTTAGTTTCCTTTATGATCATAAAGCTGATGGGTTAGTTTAGGTTTGGGGTAAAAGCCACTAAAGTCATTACCTTATTTAAAGTGTTCTTTGTTGGGGCGCCTGGGTGGCTTAGTCGGTTAAGCGTCCGACTTTCGCTTAGGTCATGATCTCACGGTTCGTGGGTTCGAGCCCCGCGTCGGGCTCTGTGCTGACTGCCAGCTCAGAGCCTGGAGCCTAGTTCAGAGTCTGTATCTCCCTCTCTCTCTGACCCTCCCCTGCTCACGCTGTGTCTCTCTCTCTCTCCTAGAAATAAATAAAAAACAATAAAAAAAAAAAATAAAGTGTTCTTTGTTGTAAATACTGGTTAATGTTTTAAACGATTTGGATAATCTCAGATTAATTGTGGCACTTGGAAGTCTCCAGATTTTTCTTTAATTGAAGTAAGTAATGCACGGTTAATAAGATATTCAACAGTGTGAGAGGAGATTCAGTGATGGAGGGTATCCAGGGACAAATAATCTCCCTTTCACTCCAGACCTTGTAGTCTCCCATCCCAGAGGCAATTGTTGACATTCTTCTTGGTGGACTTCCAGAAAATGTCTATGAATATACATATGTTTCTTTCAAAAAGTACAAATAGGAACATTCCATACACAAGCTGTGTCTTGTTTGGAGCTATAATATGATCATTTCCCTAATGGCGTGTATATATCTACTTTATTCTTTCTAGCGGTGGAAAAGCATTCCATTATATTAGGTTGAACTAAGTGAATTCGCTATGTCAGTAGGTCAAAAATGGTCAAGAGTAGAATGGTGGTTGCCAGGGGCTGGGAGGTGAGTGAGATGGGGAGATGTTGGAGACAGGCTATAAACTTTCATTTATAGGATAAGTAAGTCCTGGGGATCTTACATGCAGCATAGTGACTACAGTTAACATCCTTGAAGTTTGCTGAGAATAGATCTTAAGCATTCTTAACATAAAAACACACACACATGAACTATGCGAGGTGCTGGAGATGTTGATGAACCGAATTGTGGTAATTATTTCACAATGTGTAGGTCTATCAGATTATCACATTGTATACTTTAAGTATATATAATTTTGTTTCTCAATTATATCTCAGTAAAGCTGGGGAAAAAAAGGTTGAATGAGGGAAATTTTGTGTGGTTCAAGCTAACATGATATATCATGATTTACTTACCCAGTTCTCTATGGAAGGAAATATGGGTTAGTTTAGGACAGCACTAATCTCAGGGTTTATTTGCAGTGGATATGATGAGGTTTAAAGCAAAGAATAAAACTAGCATGCTTTTAAAATTAATGCAGCTTAATAATAAATTTCTCATGTATATTTTAGTACTTGCCTTACATCTCCATTTTGTGTACTCTTTGTTCCTCTTTTCATTTTTTTCCTGTTTCTTTGTCCTTGCTGTGTGCTATTTCTCGCTCTCTCCCTCTCTATCTCTCTGAGTGTATTTTACTTTTTATCTATCTCTGTATCAACTAAGTAGAATTTTAAGTAGTTTCATCTAGCTGCCCAGGTGCTAAACTCTAGAAAATTGTATGGCTGCCTCTATTTCCCCAAAGGAAAAACAAATCCCTTATTGTACAAAAGTGGAAATGGTGCTGATGTGGGAAAACCAGGAGCTATAATTCATCCTATCTCTTCCTTTCTCCTTACCCTTGGCCATTATTCCTAATTCTTAGCTCTGTCTTAGGAGGAGGTCGATTTTACATTCAGGTTTACTGTTGCCGAGGATTTCACATGTATTTATTGAGAAAGAGACATTCTGAAACAACACTAATATGAACCCAGACCAACTTGGTATTGAACATGAATGTGGAAAAAGCTTCGTTTGCTTTTTGTTGGCTAATGAATACTGTGGCCCATGAATACAGGGAATGGCTGGAGGAACTTTGGTCAGATTTGTAGACTAAGATTGTTCAACCGTCATAAGCCACATGCTGTCAACAAATGAACCATCTCAATGTCTTTTTCTTTTTTCTCCCCAAGAGATCCAAGTAATTTCAACTTTATGGATAGTACAGATACAAAAATTTCCAATAAGTTCATATTACTTAATTTTTTAAA